AAGCAGAAAGACAAAGAACAAAACACACACACACACACAGACGAAACAATACAAAACAGAACACTAAAAACGAACAAAAAATACAGCAAAAACAAAAACAGTAGCATTCAGTGGCGTGCTTGTCCAGGTGCTTCTTTCACCTGAGGTTTTGGTTTTTACTTGAAATAATACCATTTGACTTGAGTATGTTGCTGCTCAAGAGAAGAACCTCTGAATGTCGCAAGGGTAACACCAGTCAATCTAACTTTTTAGGGAAGGCCTTTCCTTTGGAACCAGAGACTACTACAATAGAGTGAGGACTTTCTGACTTTAACATTTTGTCACACAAGGGAGGAACTTCAGAGTTTTAAAATGACCTAATGCGGGAAGCAAAACGAGTTTCAACATTTCTTTGGTCTCTTTGTCAGTTTAATTTCTTTTTTCAAATCCTGAAGGGTTGTGTAGAAGGATAAGAAACGCCTTTTAGAATATGAAATATATTTCAAATTCTAGAATGTTGGTGATATTGTTATATTCTATATGAAGTACTTTATTGTTGAATGTTCAATTCAGAATAGTTAAATAGAACAACGAGTGGATCAAGATACGTTTCGTATTTTATATAGATTAGCAGCAGATCTTGAAGGGAAACAATGTTTTGATAAGGGTTTTTGAGCATCATGGGTACGACATCACAAAATATTCAAGAGTTTATCCTCAAATTTATGGAAAGCAAAATTAAATAATGTTTGAGCACGTTCTCGGCACCGAATTTTAAAAAAAATGTTACCGTTAATCAATACGTACCTCTTAACAAAACGTTCAGGTCTTCACGGGTAGCTTTTTATCATTTAAGATTCAACTACAACAAATAAAAGCTACTCTCTACTTTCGGTTTCTGGTCTTGTTATGCACTTTCAGCGAGAGATAGAACAAATAGCAAACATGTAATCGACGTCGTGGCTGTGAGATCCTGTGCCAGACACACTAAGAACCCCCAAAATCAACTACGACCCCCTCCCCCCCCAAAAAAAAGGGGGGAAAAGAAAAAAAAGAAAAGAAGCAAACAACAAAAAACCCCACAAAACCCCAAAAGATTGAAAAAATTAGACCAGCCCGCCATGAAAAATTAAGAAAACAAAGAATGAAAGGAAAGTATAATAAACAAAGCTAAACCCATCAATACCTGCTAACAGCTCTCCATTTTAAATGCAAGAGGTGTTCTTTTTCCATTCAAGTTGTCAAAATCTAATCAAAAGTGACTTCACGATGGAAGACAAAAATCTCGTCGTCCTTGATGTGACTGGATTTGAGAACGCCCTGAACGCAAGCTCAGTCAATTTGGGCTTTATCGCCGATGAAAGTACTCCGGATCCACAAGACTTTGATGAGACCTATGGGAAACACATTGTTTCTGAGGCTGAGACTGGTGCCGATTTGAATTCGTACACCGGGAACGTTGATTTTTCGGAAAATCCCCAAGATAAGAATAGCTCACTTGTTGCAGATCATGAAAATCCTGAAAATTGGGACAATCCGAAATTTTCGGATATCAACTTGGAGGACGATCAAAATGAAACAGGAGTTGCTACTGGCGTTGAGTTTCCGAAAACAGAGACTGTGTCTAGGGAGGATACGGATGAGATTCAGCTTGCAAAGCAGTCGTCGAGTGTGGAAAATGTGCCTTCCTGCCCAAATGGGGTGGAAAACAAAGCATTTGACATCGGACAAGAAGGGATCTCAACGGCCGATAAACCTCCGAAAGGTACATTATAAACTATCATC